GTTTCTCCCCCAGTAGCCAGGCAGTCGAGAGAAATGGTCAGCTTGGGTCCTTTATTATTCGAATGCCCATTCATGGACCGACGTTCAAACCCTCCTTGTGTATTAAAGAGGCTCTGCAACAGATACCAGTATCGCGATAGTTACAAATGTCCTTGGGCTCATAAACCTTGCATAATATAGGAATTCTTCTCGGTAATTTGAATGGTGTTCAATCAAAACTTTTAACAAATCAGATTTTACAGCATTCCTGAGCTAATATTAGGACTGTTGAAATTCGTAAACCCAGAAGTTACTGGAGCTAAAGTCATCATACAACAGTACTTAGTTTCTCTAAAAGTAACATAATTATTCTCAAAGAATGTTTTGGACGAGAATGTGGCAACAATCAATACACACATTACTGTTTTATACCAGTGAGTTCACCGAGTTTTGCCAGCAATGAAACTCATTATTGGGCTCACTTAACACCACTGTTCGTACTTGCATTCTCCCTGGCCTACCGAATCGGGACTAAATCCACTTAACGGAAAGTCCTTTTACTATAGGCACTAATAATCTTGACTGTATTACCGATGGTGAGAATTTCCTATTAGCGGAGTGTCCCATCACAATGTATAGGCGTTATCGAGCGAAACTGTCGTGATCTCAAATGCGCAGCCATGCACATCTGGGTCTCACAGACTTGCTACATACGCAGTGAAGCGATTCAGATGCAGTCGCAAGGACCGACACCCGAAGAGCCTTTGGTAGTACTAAACAACTTAACACATGGGGTGCACATTCAGCTGACCAGCCGATCTGAAATACCCACTGATATTATTCGACAAAACATTCCAGTAATCTTTCATTCAACAAATGGATGACATGCAATGTTCGCATATGTACACCATTTGACACTTGTCACAACGTGTAAAGCTATCTTTAGCACAAAACCCTGGGGAGTTTTCTGTCAAAATGTGGGTACTGACCTCATTGCGCGTTTCGCTCTTATAACACGTGAATGGCAATAATCATTCGGGACCTGGCAATGTGTCTGTACAAACAGGCTGACCAGTTTTCGAGCGGGTAGAATAATATGAAGGGAATTACATTAATCGGTACTCATTTAAGCCCAACGAAGCATCAGAGAGAGAATATTTTCAATCTATGTTCTACCAAATCAATGTGTTTAAACCTGTGACCATAATTTTGTCCCGTCGTGTTAATCAAATTGGTGAGTGTGGTTTATGGAACTCAAATTTAAAAAACACAATCTGCCTGATTCATAAAATATGATTTAATTCTGCATGGTAAATTATGTAACGTATCAGACGGTTGATCTATCTAAAACTCCCCCCCCTCACTCTACCAAGTAAAACAAATTAAAATAGAAAAAAAATTCAGCGAGTCGTTGCAAGATTTTCGCTGTCATCATGTTGCAAACATATTGGGAGGAATAAATCTTCCCGGTTTCGCGAAAATATTTTTCGACTGTTTACTTCACGCACATTGCTCGTGTGCTGTCTGTTTGTTCTTCTGACGACCAAAAGTCAATTCGCAGGATTTCACTGCAAACCTTGGTGCTTTTCATGGTCACACGTTTTGTTCCTTGTCGTACTAAATTGTCACCTATTAATCAGTGGTCAGTGTCATTGCAATTTCTACCCGTAGCAGCCCCGGGGACTTCGATTCGGCGATCGATTCTGCGCAAGCAATTGGAAAACGCCGGCAAGTGAAAAAAGGTTCGCGGAGAGATTAAGAGACTAAATTGCTTGGCAAGCGTCGCATTTTATGTCTTCTAAGTTAAAGGTTACTATTTTTATATTTGAACCAGTTCCATCGCACCGTCATGCCTGGAATGGGAAATGTTTGACAGATGGAAAGATTTTTGCACATTGCCGCATGAAAATCTCTTGTGTTAGACACCTTTGGGGTAAACAACATAATAAGTCAGAGAGTCTACAATATGAAGAGGCTACTGGACACCTTAAGCAGTGTTAAATTGTTCATAATTTCAAAATGCAGAAATGTAGCCATCATCGTTTGAGGAGTATAAGTGACAATTTTCGACATAGTTTTGGCAGAACTTGTATATTTCCAGATAAATGTTCTCAATGTGTGACATTCATACACCCTAAGTTTACTGATTACAGGGTTTCAAAAAGGCATCTAATGGTCTTCCGAGTTATGAGGACAGCAAACGGTTCCGGATCTGTATGTAAGTCGAGTTTATCGCTAAGGATGCATTGTGGTTATTCCCAGTCAATGTTCATCCGTTCGAGTTTTTCAATTGATCACCTAGCGGAAAAGTTCGCCCTATCATCCATGTATTACCTATTGGAAAACGAGTAACAGTATCCTTACCACCAATTCCCTTCAAACTTTCCTATTCTCTCACAGGTTACTAGTATACGTTTTACGTGTTACTAGAACTGCATGCTCAGCGAATGTAAGCGTGAGGTAATTAAGGAATCCAATTACACATTGGTTGATATTCAGTAGCACCGTCTTGACCGATGGGCTGAACATTCCAAACCTCAGTTCAACTGGCCCCTATCAAAATTAGACCTGTCAACCCTCAAGTCTACTGGGTAAATACTCCCAGTTGATGCCACTCCTCTATCTGCAACGGAGGGTACCCGGGAAATAAATAATCTCAAGTGGTACAAGGCTTCCGGCTCAAACAGGCTGTCCCTATCGACTTTTAAGGACGGAGGTTCGGCACTGGTCTTGAGATTGACGAAACTCCTGGGCTCAAAGTGAGAGCGTTAACAGGTTCCAAAAGAGAAACATGTCAGATATTCTTGTAATAATCACACAGGCATGAGCTCGATAAACATTTTTCCATACTTCTCGCTGAGCTCGTACTCCGCCGATTGTTTGCTGCACGTGGATGGTACACGCCTGAGAACCGAGCTGGTATTAGACCTGGTCGAGGCTGTATAGACCACATTTTCGGTGTTCCTCAAATTCCTTTCGTAGACCCCGCATTTCCATTTTCCTCGATCTGAAGGTGGTCTTGGACTCAGTCGATTGCTCTATACTTTGGCACTTACTTTCCCCTGAAGATGTGTCCGAGAAGTTTGTTTTAATATGTATAGATATAACATCTAAAGCCCAATCACTGCTTACGACACCATTTCGCGTGAGTTTACTAAGGAAAGTGGTGTTCGTAACGGTTGATCTCTCTTTTGTTACATATTAGCTTATAGAAACAGGGCTGGCCCTGTACGAATATTATATATTATATTTTATATATATATATATATATATATATATATATATATATATATATATATATATATATATATATAAACACCAATCTTTACAGATACGGCGCCAAATAACCATGGATGAACGAAAAAACATGAGTAAAAAAATCGGGGAAACAAAACAGTCAACTTTGGGAGTAACAGCAGCGATTGTCCTCCAGATGGTAGATTATCTGATATTGAGTATGAAGATAACATTTTACAGCCAAACGAATATCCGAGTAAGCTGCCGCAGTTCGGCTAATTCTCCTGTACAGCGCAGCAACTTGACCATTATCGAAACAACAGAAAGATAGAATGTCAGTGTTCGACATCTACTGGCGACACAGCACTGCAGTGGGTCAATTGGATAAACAATACGGAAGCTTTACGCAGGGAATCAGGTTGCCGCGATCACCCAACGAAGCGAGAGGCAAACCTTCAATGACAACGGTGGTTGGGGAATGTATTAAGCTAAGGGTGGTCGGACTAATACCTTACATGAGGGTTTGATATCCGTGATAATGAACCTCGGTCATATGGTTCGCGTTAGGCTCCCTGGATAGGTACCTCAAGATCAGTTTAACACTGAGAGATACGGTTATGCTTTAAACAGTGGCGCTCGTTACTCTTCTGGATTTCTTTTCAACCGTGGTCAACCGAAATTCTCCATTTTTTCTTGGCGGCTGCTTTAAACTTTTCAATTTTTATTCTACCCCTTCATCCAAATGGGACAATAACCGAAAATGGTGCGACAAGCTATTTTGACCTAGTTGGGTCTCATCAGTAGTGCGAATCCACCGACTCAACTGGGGATCGACGGTGCACGGTTAGGCCAAGATGTGGAAATAAGGGAATGTTTGACAAGTAATCGAGCAATACTTTTGTCTACTCAATACGCGTGATAGACTCAACTTCAGACACGCTCAAATGTTTTCTTGTTGAATAAGTTATATGACGATTCAGGATTTATCGGTTTATCAGCAATATATTACAAAGTTTTGGTTCACGTCAACAAATCTGCTCGTAATGAAAATAACATGAAATTTTATTTCCTGGGGCCTTAAATATGTGATTTTGTAATCTGATGGGGTAAAGGGGAGAGACCAGAAAGTGCACTAAACAATACTGACCCAATGGGGGAAGGATGATGATCTGGTTGTGAAATCGTAATCAGGGATGAAGAAGAACCTGTTTCGGTGGGATTTCAATCACAATGGAGGATTGTGAGATAGTATTCGTAAATCGGTACGTTACAAGTACCCCAGAACATGATCATGCACTTTCTGTGAGTTCAACAATGCGCAGAACGACTGTACTTTATGACCCAGACATGAAATTCAGGGATATTTGGAAAATATCCCTACCATATTATGATCTGTTTTTTAGAGAAACACTGGAGCTCAAACGTTGTAACCAATCCACCCATAAGTAAGTTATGGTAATTAATAAACAATTCCTATCAGCTGGAAAGAAACTATCTGCATAAACAATGCTCATAGCGAATCTTATTGATACTTTTTATACAGGACATTTTAAACACTTGGAAAATCGCCCTACATTTCCAAGTTACCATTCGATTACTTGATGTCGAACCAAAAGGTTCACTAAAACAACGCACAATGCCATGCAAATGTTCACATTTTTTCGAACGCACCGCCGTCCTACAGATGCTAAGTTGTATTCTATTTAAAAGTACATATTCTGATGTCCAGTCATTTAACGAGAACAGGTAGTGATTGAACGTGTACGTTCTCGGACAGGCAGATCCTACCGGGCTGTTCCGGTCAACGAGGCGTCTAGCACTTCCAATGCGGCCAGTTTTCTCAGTCCGTCCCGGGCGGTTGAAACGAGCACCTGAAACAGACAATAACCAAAGACGATGAGTACTGCATCAGCTTTGATTTGCTGGTTGCTAACACTGAACAAATTTGAGGAAAATGTGATAGTATTAAATAATTGCTAGAGAACGGTTTAAACAATTAGCAGAAAAACAGCATCCTTCTGTCGAATAATTCGCTTGAAGGCAGACAAAAACTACCGAGCATCTTTTGCTCATGTTCGAACTTATTCCCGGTACGTAGAAATGTTGTGATCCTGACGGGAGTCGAACAGTGAGCCTACGCTTAATTCTAAGCTACATCGTCAACGTCCAACAGAAACGTGTGGGATTAATTTGTTTACAATACAATCAGAGTTCGTACGCGTAGACTCAGTGTATTGTTTTCATGGTGCGGGCATCAGTGATTAAGGATACATTTTTCCCGTAAATTTAGCGTTCTAGTTGTCAAAGTAGGTCCACCTTCACAAACAAGGTTTGACAGATACAACTAGAAAATGTAGTTAATAAACAGACATCGAAGGAATAAAACTTATATCAGGAGAACAATACATAGAAGATGTGTAATAGAAAGAAAAATGAGAAAATATTTTATGGATGAGTCCATTCAATTTTTATAGGCAGCCGGTGCTGTTTTAGCCCATACAAACCATCTATTTGCACTTCTATGCATCAGCTAGGATTCCTGTCTTTCGGCCACCTGTGGAGTCGAAGGAGCCACTGCAACAAGAGGAAGTCACAGAATAAAATGAATTGATTCCAAAGTGCCAGTTGGCAAAATACCTAACCATAACAGTCGATTTCTGTAATCATCTATGCGACCGATTTCCAGGTCCTTCAAACGGGAAAGCATACGTGACCACGTTCACCTGGTCAGCGTCTCCATAGCCGCATGCCCAAACTTGAGCATCTTTCAATCACAAATTGTTTCGGCGAACATCGGACAAGATGGAAGCCTATTTGCGTTAAAAAATCTCATCCGTTTGAGATCAGTTTGTGACCACAGTCGACTGACAAACCTCCCTGAAAATGAAACCAAATTGCTGTTGAATGAGCTTCTTGGCCGCCTATTTTACTAGACAGTGGGATCTTCAAGTTGCATCAAGACATGTAATGAAGGGCTAATGAGTCTGTTCACTGTCTAGTCTCGAGAAATTTCAATCTTGTTTTTCATCAACGAGCCCTCTTGATGTTTCTGTGATACTGTTTCCCACAAAAACGAACGGGAAGTTTAATATCTGTTCCCCGTTGTTTGTATAATGAAACATGACTGAATTTAGCACTAACCGTTTCAAATAATAATTGTAATGAAGTTATTGTGATGTCCGACGAAGTGCACTGGTGAGACATCCTGGTCTGGTTAAAACTCGGCAATATTGCGTACGTTTAATGGTCCTTTGTGGACTCATTTCGATAATGGACTTCACAAATCATTGGTTCAGTGTTTCGTCTTGAGAAGTGAAACTCACAACAACCGGACTCAATTCATGTGAGTGATGGAGGATTTGATTCACTTTCAAAGTGGAAATTCTTCGTGTAAATGGCAAATCAAGCGTAAACTGAAGAGCTAGGAAGCACTGGACAGCTGTTTCGACCTGGATTATACATTTTTAATTTCAATGAATCCACCGTAACTTTAAGTGAATCCACCCAATCGCATTCCATTGGGAACCCCGAACGATTATTGGTGTTTCGACCGTCAAACATCACCGGTTGGACCGGGTCTGTACAAACCCCATCCAGTTCGAATGAACTCACTTCCCCGTAAACAAACAACAGTACTTTTCGGGTGAGTTACCGAGCGAGGGTGAAAGTTTCAGTGGGGTGAGGTGGGTCGTTCTCAACCCCCCCCCCTCCTCCCCGCCCACGAACGTTATGTCCGTGATCGCTGATCGAGTGTGCGTCATCGACACGAATGAACGAACCCGGCGTTAATTGATCTCTTTCGGTCGGGGACGGAAGTGAATCACGTCAAGATGGATCGATAGATCGGTCATCATGCTCGGGCGTGAATGTGAGCATGATTCATTGCATGGGTAAATTCAGTCTAGGTCCTCAATAATCCAATGAGTAAATTCCATTGAGTGTCTCTCGTATAAAACCGACTCCTTTGAAACAAATGCAATCGGTTACATATTTCTGGCATTGAAATGCATATTTGATAAATACTTAACAATACTTAACAATAAGGATACGGTAAAAGAACTAACAGTATTTCACCTGAATAATAAAATCAAATTCTAACCTATTCACTAGCTAACAGGAATAGTACAATCTGTCATTCTCTGGCTGATAAATACATTCAATCCAAAATGCCAATAGTAACAACCTGTTACCCGCAGCTTCTCCCCTCGCTACTCAGCTTCATCGCATAGCTTCTTATCTTTGTTGTATCATTGATTAACCCGTCGTATCTTTTCACATATTGGGTAAATCTGTGCGATCTTTATAGTTTAGTGGATGAGGCAGGTAATGATAAGAATGAGTTACAGTTATCCATGATCCTACAAGCGATGTTAACTCTGTAACTCTGCAATTTTTTACTTCATATTTAACGGTCACTGGTGGGCTTTTGTGCCTTTGAATCCCAAAAACTAGGCAAAGTGTGAATGTGGTCATGAACTGTTGCAACCGGCTGATGGACGAACCGTCTTCAACATCCAACCTTCAGTCGTTTTCCCATCGCCGAGAAATCGCTCTGGTATCTCTTTTTTATTGTCACTTAAGTGGTTACTCTCCCCTTGACCTTTTCCAGACCAGCTCGTTCTCAGGCGCTTCAGTCTCCTTATCAGGTTTCTGTCCCCGAATGTCAAACTTACATCTCACAATATTTTTACCCAGGGCTGCGACATTGTGAAACAATCTTCCGATTTCCTTGTTTCCAAGCACTTTTAATTTTACTCCTTTCAAAAGTAAAGTGAATTTCACTTGAATGTTTCCTCAGTTTGTCATTGACCATAACATTTACCCCATTTGTTGTAAATCACTTAGTGTTTGATAAAAAAATCTTTGCTTCAAACAAAGGCAATCCAGAAGGATAAATGAAAACGGATCACCCTCCTCGAGACCCATTTTAACCGACGGGCTTAGTTGATAACCGAGTTTCCAGCATTCTTAAAATTGTCCATAATTGGGATCGAGCATCAGGAATTTGGAAGAATCTGTAGACACAATCAGATGTTCGAGATCTGATAAGTTTTCTTTAACCTTTTTCATCATGCAAGAAAACTTCTGAAGTGTTGAGCGAACCATGGTTTACATTAAATCTAACTAATCGCGTGGGAAAATTCACCTGGTTAATGAAACTTAAAAACGGAAGTCCTCCACGAAACAACAAGTTGGAAAGAAATGGCTTCATTAAAACACAGGATAAACATAGTTTTACATACCTCTTGAGATGCAAATCTTTGCCAAAAATATGTATATGGAACTGCAAAAGTTACTACAGGTAATCATATATTCACGTTTGTTGGTAGTGAATCGGAGGGAAGACGTGAACTCTTGCACTAGTCATGCTTAATGAAAGTCGTCAATCAACCACCTCTGTTGAGGACTTGACCGGGGTTGATCATCCCCGATAAGGTCACATCCGTCGATTTGGACATCACCATCCCTGTCAGAATTTAACCACCTTTCCTGGAGTGAAATCGCTCTAACGCTCCTGTCCATGAACAGCTGAAGTGGATTTGTAATATTGTCCAGCTTGCCTAATAATAAGCGAATGTTACCAGAAATCGTACACATCCGAAAACCAGGGATAATATTATCGCAGAAATCATTCAAACAGGAATCCATAATACGTTTATTACGTTCATTACACGATTTCCAATTTAAATACCATAAGTGATTCTGGAAGAAATTCAAATGACAAAAACAACGCGCATTATTTTCTCTGTGTTCATATTTTTAGAATTTGCGCTACTTTAAGACCGGATTCAAACGCAGCTTAAAAAGAAACAGGATTTACAGGGGCATTCACCCCAAAAAAAAATTGCGATCGTCGTAATTTATTCAAAGTTCCAAAAGGTGAGGGGGGTGGAGTAAAGCGAAAAGACTGTAGTGTAAAGAGCTGTCAAAACGTATTGTGGAAGACTGACATCGGGACAGAGAAACATACTCAAGAATGAGGGGTCTATGTGGATTTTTCACACTGTCACAACTTGTGGAATGACAATAGGACTGTTGTTTCTCGTTTCTAATACACCAGACCATTAAAAACTAAGTTCTTTCCTTTTTACTGTAACTATTGGAGAAACGAAACATGCTCTGTTGTTAACTTTTCCGTGCAGCTCTGAACACATTGCGAACACTTCTTCCCTTAGCCCTAGATCTTTTGTCTAAGCTTGCAGCAGATGGCGCATATGTGGTAGGATGCGGTAGGCTGCGATTCAATAAAAAAAACTTGTATCCTACGAAACGAAATGTGTTCATTGCTTAGCTCGTTACGGAAATAATTTCCCACAGGAGATTTCAAGCATTTCTTGCATTCTATCACAATTTCAATCGATTTGCGTACCAAACAACATTCCAGCCTTGATTCAATAATTACACAAAATAAATGAGTGTAAAAACACAAGGTTGAACTGTTCCATGGATTCAGTAAAATACGAAGGAAATATTTGAGAAAAGCTGTTAACTCGTGGATAGCGTTCTTCAAATTGAAAAAAGCTGATTATCTTCATTACGTGCCTGCTTTCCAACTGGTTTAGAGAAATCTGGGTACCTCACTGTTTGATTTATCGAACAAAAATATTTGTGAAGCAACAGTTTGCATTATTCTTTGCTGAACTGGACAAATCATCTACAAACAGCCATAGTTTGACTCAAGATCATTGCAAACCAAAAAAAATCACGAGTACTTCCTAGATNAGATTCACCTTCCACCGATTGATCATGCCTACACATGATCCGTGAAGGTCAATCAAAAAACAACAGTTGATCTGAGGAATTACAACACTTGATCTTGGAAGTGGAACAATGCAAATTTAAGAAACAGTCAATCAGAATTCAACTACCGGTGAATAAATTAAACTAACCAAAACAGAACGGAAACAAAACTAGTAACCCAGACAGAACAGCTGAATGGAATCCATACCTTATGACCACCGAACCTGCTCTCTATTTCGGCAAGCATTGTTCTTGTACTCTGATTCGACTTCATTCGAGCCACAATTATGTCATCTATAACGAGAGGTGTGCGAGTACGTGTGTTTGTGTACTTAGAACAATCCACGACTGACACGTGTTTTGAGGCCTTGAAACGTTAGCGGTCTTCATCATTACACTGTATTTTTTTTGCCTGGAACTGTTTTTTATTACACACCCAAGGGTGATGAACAGCAGACTGGGCGAACCCCACAGTCACGAGGACTTGTTGTTCAGTGGTGGAAACCGGCAACCTAAGCCCCGGGACTTGGAGTGGCGAACCACATAAGGCCCCGATAAGTTAGGTGTGATACTAAACCGGACGACAGCAGAGTTGCCTACCACTGCAAATTAGCACATTATTTTGCAGGTAACTTTAATGATCAAAAAATAGAAATATCGAAATAAAAATATCTAGCCTTCCTCTTTGGTTTATTTTAAAATTTTCCACAATCATTCGGGTTTACCGTAGGATTAGTCAGTCTGGCATTTTTTTCTGTAGAAAAGCGTATATAAAAATCAATTTAAATTTCTACTTAATGGTTAGTTTTGATTAATGGTAAAGGATAAATTCTGCGCTAACCTAAACTGATTCCCTCACGCACATCATCCAGTTCGAGAAATCAATGTATCCAAATGTTGCTTCTATTTTTTATCATTAGTGGTGCATGGTTACCGGTCTATTCAGGGTTGGAAAACCTTGTAGACGGAGTGACCCTTACTCCTGTGGTAATTAGCTCACAACGAGCCAGAATAACACTGTCGATTTCAGTTTTTCCCTTTATAGGCCATATTAGTTGAAGGAACTCAGTCGGTAGAAGACTTCCGATCGAAATTGTCAAGACATTATTGTGCCAATCAGTTTATACGTCCTAGATCAACAAATAAAAGCAATTTTACCGTGTCTACTATCTAATTACAGAATAAAAGCTGAAAAAAGTTGGTCGCACGTATTCTGAAAAGGCTTCAGCATCACGTGTCAAATAATTAGGTAGCTTTCGAAATGCATCAACAAACAAAGTCGCTCCTCTGATGCGTGTAGCACATTCACCAAACAAAATTTTGCGTTTCTTTGGAATAATCAGAATCATCTTTTACTCGTTGGTTTCTGTGACCGAGCATTTTCTACAAAAGCACAACCGCTTAATGATACCGAGCTAGACAGCAAAACAACAAGTTCACCGGATACGAATAATGATGACGAGTAGTGACTCGCCGTCATTACACACAGACACACAGAAAATAAATGAAGTAAATAAAAGTTTCACCGGAGGTAAAAGGCATAGAGATTAAGTTCCAACGTTACCCACTTTTTTGCATGCCAGAAAAAAATCGGTGCGTGCGAAAATAACGTCAGCGATCGATCCAGACAATCGATGCGAATACGAGAACCTGATGTTATAATTTATTCAGCAAACTGATAGCAATCTTTAAGAATTATCACTTTAATGAGAATGAAGAGAAGTGAAGTGAGAATGCGCATCATCCACCAGCGGGGGGTTGTGTTGAACGAACTGGAACCATATTGACAAAACCCCGAATCCGGGTGCCTGGCTCTTGTCTGACGGTACAACCCAAAGCATGAATAGTTTCGCAGCAAAGCTAATGCCGCACACGCAGTTATCTTCAATCTAAACCTTTTTCAAATCGAAAGACGCACCACCAGTTCAGGTGGAAATGAACGATAGTGTGCATGCGCGAGACGCAAGAATAAAAATGACGCAACAGAAGGACAAAGACACATGCATCAAATATTGAAATAGGCCAATGTGACCTTTTACACACAAAGGTGCGACTACTATTTGCGCCCGTTCTATCACGGAATTTACCCGGTGCTCTTCACGATTCTGTTCCACATTGCTCAGCATAGCATGCAACGAGTCGTGCGCTATGCAACGCAGCACGGGTTCTGTAGACAAAACAATTTGGAAAGCATTCGCAGATGGAAGGTGAAACATGACTAGTACCATGTCGAGGGGTAACAATTTGTGTTCTTTTGCATCACATGAAATCAAGGTGTGTGTTATGCAAAAAGCATGCGTTCCGTGGCACATCGATGCAATTTTTGATTCACAAGCTCCACTACAACGCGTTTTTTGTACATAGACCAGTTGTGGTGACGTGTATAGTGTACTGGTTGAGGAGATATATTTATCATATTTTCATTTGCATGCATGTTGCAGATTCAAATCCAACCTTCATGCCAAATAGAAGCCTTAGGGATCTTTTTTAAGGAACAGAAATTAAATGAATGGGATCTTAAATTTAGGGAAAGAATATGCATTGATAATTGTGTATGATTACCAGAAGCAATGTTTCGTTATATTTTCAAATTATACGGGTTAAACTCATTTCATTTTTAAAGTAAGTATTTTCTAATGTGGAGAAAGAACTAACATTTTATCAGATCTATCATGCTCTCCGGTTTTGAGTTATGCCTTTCAAACTATGTGACTATGAATGTCTTTGGCATCATCTATGGCCTCGATCTGTAAGTTAGTACGATCCTGATATGTGAAATAAGATTTGTCGACCTCTTTATTCGTTTTCCTCATATCACGGTTGTGCCCAATATGTACGAAATCGAAAAACGTACTGACGTCAGTAGTTTTATGTGGTATTCTCACTAAACATTACAAGTATGCTCAACATAACCCAATCAGACTGGAAATGGCTACGGTGTGACTGTGTGCACAATAGTAGAAAGCATCCTTTTAATGAGAATGAAGCGAGATATCGTATCTGCACCACGAAATATCTTAGATCGCTGAAGACCAAGGAGGTCTTCTCTAATCTCATAGGGATTGCCTCAGTCATATCAGCGCCAGAGGCAATCCAACTTCCAAGTCCAATAAAACTGTCAATAATGACCACCCTGAAATCGCTCAATGTGATAGCATGCGCAAGCACTTGCCAGTCAACGGTTGTTTTGAATTATGAAAGCAATCTCTCAATCCCGTATCATTTTCCCTAAGTTGCAAAATGGTTTTCAAGAATATGCAGCCCCTGCTTGTCCCCTGGAATCAATCCTGTGTAACCAGTAAATGTTGCCAATGAAGCGCTAAGTTTGCATGGCCAACATAAACTTTCCCGAGGATGCTACTCATAAATAAATCGAGAATAGACGACCCAATGTCGTATTCCTGTTGTAATATACTTGCAACAATGAACAAAATGGGAAAAGCTGACTGTTTATAAACCCCGACTGTAATTATGCTTGTGAACAGAGTCCGTGATGCGCGAGAAACGAAACTTTCAAGTTTACTATATCTCAAAAGGAACTCTCTCAAACAGATAATTCTAAAATAATCAAAGGTTAGTCCAATATCCACACGTCGACAAACACGGAATATAGCCGCTTTTACGGACCGGGAGACGTTTCAATCAGTACTGACAGCGGATTTTGTAAAGACAGTATTACCTGCGGCGCGGAAAGACAAGCAGTAGACAGAGAGAATTTGACTGACAAGAACGAAAACATTGTTAACCGGTTTTCAGTTTGGGTTTTAATTAAATATCCAATATTTTGCTTTTGTGAACCAGTTGACTGGAGAGATTGAACCGATACTGTGTTGAAAAAATGAGAACAAACTATGGATTCTCAGTAAGAATAATATTACAATTTTACAGCTACATCAATGCGAAATACGGATTGCTCCTGTGAACACTGAATTCCAACGACGCTGTCCTTGGTTTTATGGTGCAAAAAAATGACCCTACATTTTCTCGACGCGTTAACTGCTGTGAATTTCACTGACGGATCAGCCTATTAGAAAATCAATAACAACGTAGACTTTCGAATCCAGATGTTGCTGTATGAGATGCGGAGTACAGAGAGACCTCAGCATTTGCTCATAAATCATTGTTGAATGTGTGCGTGCGAGTCATAACCGTCCTACCCCGGCTGATGATCAGAAATCATTTTACTGCATTTCAAAATCTAAACCATGGAACTTGGAAATCAACTACAGACCTTCATTGGTTG